TTAAACACTATAAAACAATATTGACCTATATTTTATGATTTTTTCTTATACTTAATTAATATAAAGATTCGTAGCAAAAAATAATAATGAACTATAAGTTATTATATTTTTTTCCGAACTCTTGTACCAAATTTATGTTCAATCCCATGCATTGCATGGGTTCAGTTGATGGGTAGCGTGGGTCCTTATTATTGGTCACAACGGACCGAAACACAGCCAACAGCTGCAGCTACTCCGGACTCCACACTTTTCCCATTAATCGGTTGGTTGAATTCCGACCATCGAGATCCTCGTGGGAAGGAGCCACCCATCTCTCAAGTACAAATATACATATACACTCTTAAGCACTCCCATCGACTCTCTCTCTCTCTCCAGCTCAAAATCATTCCTTTCATGGTTTGAAGTTTGAACCCCATCATCTCTTAATTAAGTCGTAAAGCTCTCTCTTGTCATCCTTTACTCCTGAGTTTAAACTTTGTGTAAGAAAGAAGGAAAGATGGTGAAGAACAATAACAAGAATATTGGCGTTCGTAGTTCAACTCCAGCGCGCTCATACTACAGCCTCTGTGGGGTTAGAGCTGTTCTCATAACTCGTAGGAATAGTCCCCAAGATCTAATCCTGCGTCGTCTCAGACGATACCTTCTCTACTGTAAGCTCAGATCTTTGATACCCCCAAATCTTCAGGTATATTATGTACAACCCATTAGAACTCTCTCTCTCTCTCTCTCTCTCTCTCTCTGTGTGTGTATGTGTTCTCTCTGAAAGTAGTCTGAAACTTCAACTTCATGCAACAGCTAAGGACTGAAGGTGGGCTTGGAGGAGCAAATGGAGTTGAGGTGGAGCATCACGAAACCCAGTTGGGCGATTCATCTGATGAGGAAAATTGCAGTATAGAAATGGGTTTAGACGACTCTGGCAAATCTCATGGAAACAATCAGAAAGAAAATCATAATAAGAAGGGTACTGAGGAAGATGATGATCAGGAGTTACAACCTTTTGTTCCTTCTATCAAATTCACAAGGTTTGACAGTTCCCTTCTTATCAGTACTGTAGTGCTCAAAGACATCGCTTTGACCTCGGTCCTCTTCCACATTCTAGAAGAAGAGAAGCTCGCTATTGTGTCTGAGAATCAGTACAGAACAGAAACCAAAGTTTCTCATACCGTTCTGGTGAGTGACTCCTCTCCCCCATGTCACATTAGTGAATCAGTCTGTATCAACCTTTTTATAAATTTGTTTCGTTAACTTCTGTCATGGGTGCAAATTATGATCAGGTGAGAGTGAAGCCGGATTACGACGTAGATGAATTGGAGAAGAAGCTTTGCAGGTGGGCAGGGAAGCCCATTTAACAAGCCTGTGCGTGTAGAGTTCCGATGGATATGCCATCACATCCTCTTTAACTGAAAGTTGGCCGTGGATGGATTCGTTCTGCTTAATTACTCACTAATTCGTCATTTGTTATCTTGTTCAGTTTATTGACTCATCAGTCATCTAAAAGTCTAGAATTAATTTATACCTCTAGCTAGTTGATTTAGATAGAAAATAACCTTGACAATACTTCCCCTTTTATCTCTCTCAGAATTTGAGAACCCGTTTATACATAGGAGTATAAGAAGGATTCATAGGGTGTTGTGGTGGCAAGTATATCTGTTTGAGGGTGAAATCCTTCTCGATTGTAAGGTTTGAACTTTGATATGATATGACACTTTTATTTAATTTAAGCATCAAACCAACCTTTTTCTCCTTAGTGTTTTAAGTCTTACCTAGAGATAATGTCATTCTTTTGCCTAGTAATTGGCTAGCAGAAATTGTAACCATAATCATGAATGTAATCAACCAATATAATTCCTTTCCCCTGACCATCTACCCGCCATCTTCTCCTGCTTTATTTCACTGGATTTCGATTTCAACGACTCAGAAACTCAGACACAGACCATTCAATTCAAGCTATATCAATCGAATCGTCATTCTCTCGTCCAAGATTGAAATTATTGAAGGAATCTCAAACCCCATTACCACACATACGAACGCCATGAATTTGTTGTTCAAAGTAGCTCGTTAATGGAAGTTTAATTAATGTTCAGAAAGATTATTGGGGGTAGAGGTGTAAATCGGGTGGTACCGCCTACAACTCATTACAATTTTGTGCCAATCTGGCTTGGCCCGATGGTCCATGGGCCATGCTGCAGCCCGGCATGATCGTGTGGTTCGATGGGCTGTGCCGGGCTTGGGGTTTCAAGTCGGCCCATGGCACAACCCATATATATAAATATAATATTTATATATAATATATAATATATTAATAAAATAAACAATTTTTTCAATGTTATTATACTATTTTATTTAATTATTGTATATATAAGCAGTTGTGTACATCAAAATTCATATAAAATTTTAAGTTTATTTATTTTCAACTTTTTAAAATAAATAACTTTGGCCCAGTGCACGGCCTGGCTTGGCCTAATGCTCGGCCCACGGACCAATCCAGCCTGTTCGGCACGGGCCCGTACGGTCTCAGGCCGTGAACTATGCCAAGTCAACCCCCAAAATATCCCAAAAAAGAGAGGCACGACCTGAAAACCAATCCGGCCCAATCCACACTTTATGCAAGCCACATGCAGACCGGGCCATACCGACCCAGCACAGCCCGTTTTACCCCTCTAATTGAGGGCAAAGGACGCCCACCAATATATTTGGGGACCCCTATTGATAAGGGCTTTTGTTGTTGGGGACCATGAAGACTTTTGGGAGAAAGGCAACAAACAACAAAAATCGCATTAAATTCCTGTTAATTTTGAAATGAACAAAAAGAGACAAACATGATTGAAGGGTCAATCATCAATGTAAGTGGTGGGCCGGAGGATCCACCCGATGCGCTCTCGATACCATGCAGGAACATGTAGATGTAGTAGAATGTTTGACACGGTGACACGAGGTGGTCCAGGTTCAGTCCATCCATGCCATGTGTCTCTTAGCTTTTTTCTTTGGGAAAATTCTTTAAAAAGATACAAATGTCCTTCAAGTGTCATCTAATTTTCTTTTTCAATTATTTAAATATTAACAAAAAAATTAATAGTCCCAAATCCTTGCCTCTTCCATTCAAGAAAGTTAGGGTCACCAAAATACCCACTCAAATGTAATCCCAACTTTCTTGAATGGAAAAATGCAAGGATTTGGGGCTGTTAATTTTGTCAACGTTTAGATGGTTGATAAAGAAAATTGACACTCGAAAGACATTTGTCTCCTTTTCAAATGTCACTTGAAGACAGATTAACTGCTGATTAATGACAGGTAAGGCTACAACGTGGGCCGGGTTGGCCCGAACCTAACCCGAAAAAGTTGGGTTGGGTTAGGTCGGGTTGATGTTCAGGTTAGGGTTAGGGTTCAAATTCATGAACCCGATTTTACTTCAGGTTGGGTTAGGGTTGACCCCTTAGCCAACCCGAACCGACTCTATAGTACATGTCATATATAAATATTTGTTATATGTAATATATAACATACATTGATTTGTTTAGATGCATGATATCAGTATCTATAGTCATTTCTGACACTTGTTTTTCTGAATTTTGTACCAAAAGAATAAAAAAAAAAAGTCAACAAATACTAATGAAACACAGGATTAATATATGTAGTGAGAGTTGAGTTAAAATCTAAAATCGAGAAATTCTATGAAGTTTTAAGGGATGGGAAGAAAGTTGGGTTGGGCCCAACCCGAACCCGACCCATTCGGGTTGGGGTTAGGGTTGAAGGAATTTAGTTAGGGTTAAGGTTGGATTGGTCGGGTTGGGTTGGGTTAGGGTTAGGGTTAGGGTTGGGGTTTAGAACTTAGGGTTGGGCTAGGGTTGGCCTCAACCCGACCTAACCCGGCACGACTTACAGCCCTAATGACAGGTACTGGATTGTCACGTTTTGAAAGTTCGGATACTGAATTGTCACATTTTAAAGTTTGAGAACCAAAATTACACTAAACACAAAATAAAAAATACTAATCGAGAATTTTCCCTCTTTCTTTTTTTTTCTTTTTTTTTTAGTAATAAAAGTTTTATAGAAAGAGAGAAAAAGCAACGAATAGTCATGGGAGATATATACAAAACCTGATAGTCCAGTAAATCATCAATGCAGTATTAACTACTCAAAAGGGAAGATTGTTGGTCTAACAGAAAGAAAAGCTTTCCCCACGAGCTGTTGGAGCTGCTTTCATGAACGATCAAGTTAGTTTTCCTTGATATTGAGGTTAACTTGAAACTGCAGAGTGCAGAATGAGTTCAAAGGCAGTCTTCTTTCCTCCCTCAGCCAAAAGAAATAGACGGCCGGTGGAATTTGTTTGCTTCTGCCTCTTTGGAGGAGATGAGCAGCCTTGCTTGCATGTGTCTCTTAGTTTGGATATACCTTTACAATTCACCGGACATATCATGTTTATATTTTGAACTTTTAATATATGAATTAATAAGAGAATAAGAGAAAAATAATAATTTAAATTATATTTTCTATTATCAATTTCTAACATTAAAGAGGGGCTAAATTCAAAATTGAGGTGTTTCAATTAAGGAAAAATCCATTGCCACTTTTTCATAGTAGTATAGATACTGATATAGGCTGAATGGCTCACTTTAGGTGTCATCATTTTATTGTATCATTATTTGTCAACACTTTACATAATTAATCAGTTAACAAATACAATCTGATAAATGGGAGTGCAAATGAAAAAAAAATGCAAATTCTCGTTTAATTTTCACATTATGGTTTATTTGCACAAGTGTTTGAACATAATGCTGTGTTTGGTTGCAGTGAAACTTTATTTGCACTAGTATAAATGCATGGGGAGTGCAAATGAAAAAATGCAAATTCTCATTTAATTTTGTTTTAAGTCTTAATTTATTCTGCTTCAATTCTTAATTTCCTTCATATGTACTGCAATCAAACAAAATAAGCTAAATTTTGAAATAAAAATAGGTCTGAATTTACACTCGAATCATTTGCACTGTCATAGTTTTGCATCAGTGCAAACTTATTTGCATTGCAATCAAATACAGCATAAGGCTCAGTTTGGGAAGAATATAAAAACAAATTTGTACAATAAAAACATCGCATATGAGATTTTGCACTGAACATATTTGTATTTTCACTCATTCCCAAAGGGAGTACAGTGCAAATACAAAGTTTAGGAATACTGAATACAGGGTTTTGCACCATACATATTTGTACTTGCACTCTTCCCAAACTGAGCCTAAGAGTGCAAATACAAGGTTTAGAAATACCATATACGAGAGGTTTTGCATCGAATATATTTGTATTTATACTCTTCTCAAACTAGGCCTAAAGAACTATCATGTTAACACATTCTTATCCTTTTCTCGAATGTTGGCAAGTAATTAATTAAACCCCTGAAATGTACAGGGTTAAATAGAAATTTGGTGAGGTTGGATTAACAAATATGGGTTTTGTTGTCATTTTGAATAGAGGTTAGGGTCCATATTTAGGGTTGGTCTTGAGTTTTTTTACTTTATTAGAGAGCCAAAAGGGTTTGATATATTTAAGAGGAAATAAGAGACTTAACGAAAGAGGGGAGACATTACATATGTTGTCTATGGAGAGAAATATAAATAGTATTGATCTTATTGGAGAGAGAGAGTGTGTGTGTGTGAGAGAGAGAAGAATGATCTTATTAGAGGTTAGGCTAAGATATTGAAAAAACTTGTAACCAATGAACCAGTATCATAAAAGTAGTAACCAATCAGGTGGAATTTATCAAAATTCAGAGGATTTTTTCAAAGATGAAAAATCTTTTCAACCCCCATATAGAGTTTCCTCAATTAAGAACTATAAAGAGAGTTTTCATTTTGAATTCTCATATTTTTAATAATTCAATTTAAAAATAAATAATTACATGGCTGAGAAATGAGAGGAGGTATTTGAGCATTGACATTCTCTTAACCTCTCATAAAAATTAAATTAAGGCATCAAATCATTTGATGTTAATACCTTATGTATGCTTACCCTTTTGTCTTTACATACATGTACAACATGTGTCGACATTAGTGTAAATGTGTATATCATAGTTGTCTTAAGTTACGAAAAAAAAGGTTTTTATAAGAAAAGGGCAACTTTAGATAATATTTTTGTAAAATAACTAAAATAAAGTAAATTTTTTTTGAAAAATATCAAGTATGGGCAATAATACTGTTTATCGTCTTCCTCTTCCTCTCCTTCTCTCTCTTCTCTCTCTTGCTCTTCTTCCTGAGACTGAAGCTCTGGTGTAACTATGACGTCTGTCGTAGTTATCTCACCGCGAGCTGGTCGATTGAATTCGACCCTGTCTTATAACCTCTTTTGCGAGGACGTCGATTAATCAAATACCCTTCTTCAGCTTTTTCTCTGACCCCAAATTCAGCAGCCGCTTTATCTTCCAAATAAGCAGAGATAGCGACAGCGCTCGCTGAGCTAATAATTTGGACGCCAAATCAAAGGCCATTGCGAAATCCGAGATGGGAAGCGATAGCTCCAGGCAACCGGGGTCTAGTCCGAACGAGAATCGACAAATGTTATCGAATGTGAATCTTCGAAACACGTCTTGTAAATCTGGCACGTTTCCTTCGCCAGCAGCCGATGATAAGAGCGGGACAAGCCGACGCTTGATCTCGGTGGTGACTATCTCGATGGCGAATGATCTTATCGAGACGCTACCCAGCTCCAGACTCGCTAGTTTCCGCTGAAACTTCCATGTATCTCCGTCAACGTTGAAGATGCCATGCCGATGATAAGAGCGGGACAAGCCGACGCTTGATCTCGGTGGTGACTATCTCGAAGGCGAATGATCTTATCGAGACGCTACCCAGCTCCAGACTCGCTAGTTTCCGCTGAAACTTCCATGTATTTCCGTCAACATTGAAGATGCCATGACCCAAGAGGTCACCCAGGGTCACGGAGAAAGGCTTCCCTTTTGGGTAATTTCAAACCTCATCTTCAGCATATACTCGACGTTATCCGGATTGGCTGTAATCGTGTTTCCGAACACATGGACATGGATGGTCCTGCTGGGAGACTTCTTGAGGTGATGGATATACCAGTCGCAGAGATTGTCGAATTCAATCGACCAGCTCCCGGTGAGATAACTACGACAGACGTCACAGTTACACCAGAGCTTCAATCTGAAGAGCAAGAGAGAGAAGAGAGAGAAAGAGAGGGCGAAGGAGAAGAAGAGGAAGACAATGAACAATGTCTTGCCCATTGTTGATATTTTTCAGAAAAATTATCTTATTTTTATTATTTTATAAAAATATTATCTTTTTTTGATGTTCAGGGCAAAAAGTTGGCATTATCTGTTAGAAATCCTTATTTTTTAAACACTATAAAACAATATTGACCTATATTTTATGATTTTTTCTTATACTTAATTAATATAAAGATTCGTAGCAAAAAATAATAATGAACTATGAGTTATTATACTTTTTTCAGAACTCTTGTACCAAATTTATGTTCAATCCCATGCAATGCATGGGTTCAGTTGATGGGTAGCGTGGGTCCTTATTATTGGTCACAACAGACCGAAACATAGCCAACAGCTGCAGCTCCTCCGGACTCCACGCTTTTCCCATTAATCGGTTAGTTGAATTCCGGCCATCGAGATCCTCGTGGGAGGGAGGTTTAAGTCTTTCACCCTTTATTTTTTTAGGTGTTGAGTGATTTTTTCTTTGTTTTTATCTCTGTTTCGATTTCTGTTTTGCCGGGGTCTGTAGGTTTTGGTTAGAGCATAAATACAGACACAAGCGATTCACGCCCATGGTGTCTTCTGCTATCTTTTTGTTTGTACTCTGGCAGTTGATTTGGCTTCTTTACACCACCTTCCTAGAAATCTGGGTGACTGGCATATGCCTAAATTCAAGCCTGTGAACTGTGAAGCCCTAGCGAAATACGGATTGGTGAGCTGTTGCTCTGCAGAGTCTACAATGTAATGGGGCCAACAGAGCCACACACAATATTGTTCTCACTTGTTACCCCAAACAAACAAACAAACACCGCCTCTTTTTCCTAATAATCCAGCAACTGAGATAACCATTCTGTCTCTCCAAATATGTAAAATTGTATCATACCTATACCTTCTCAGCATCATAGGTCCACTGTTTCTCTGTGGTGTTTTCCACTTTAAGACCTTCCATTTGGGAAGAGTGAGACAAATGTAGGGTTCATGAAAATAAAAATATATGGTGGGGTTTGGAACCAATGCCAATTTCTGAATGGTGTTTTCTCAGAAAATGATGCCATTTCTTGAGATGTGTTTTTTCAGAAAATGGAATTGCATAAGCATGATGTTTTCTTAGAAAATGTTGTCGCAAATTTTCTATTTAGTACCACTGCCATTACTGCTACATAAGCATTTTTCAATGCCATACCAGCATAATGTTATTAGCAACTAGAAACAGTGGAAACAAAAAAAAAAAACAGAAAAACACCAAAAAGGGCATTTTCTCATATCACACCTGTCCCTATTTTCAATGTGTGGTTTGAAAATTGCTTTTCAGAAAAACAGCTCTCCAAACAGCATTTTCCCCAAAAGACAGATTTCTAATATGATGCTGATATAGCAAGATTTTCCGAGGAAACGGCTATTATTTTTTTTTAAAACGAAGGAATATCATCATATTAGATGTTTCAAAACGAAGGAAGAGTAGACAATGAAGTCCAAAAGAAAATTTTGTGGGCTAACGTCATCAAACAAATGCATTGGAAACATCATAATTCTGCAACGGCCTGATATATCATGGCTTGTATGGCGAGATTTATCATAAACTATGATTATAAAGATCAACCATAAATTAATCTATTAGATATTACTAGAACAAAAGAAATCCACGTCAAAGGAAATAATGCCATGAAGCGAAGGTGAGAAATGATAAAACTAACGTGGGTGTGAAGATCGTGCATTGTTTAAACAGAAATTTGATGTTACATGCAACGATGAACGATCCTATGCCGCAGATTGCACGTCCTCTCCGATCATCAAAAGATTAGATGCCCTCCAAATTAAAACCGGACCGGACCGGACAGTCAGACTGGAAAAAATAGAAATCGGTCAGATGACTGGTTCCATTCTTCCCCAAAACCGGGATTTCTCAAAAAACTGTTGATTTTGATCAGCAAACCGCTGACTCAGGCGGTTAACTATTCGAACGGTTTCAACTATTTTTTATTTTTTAAAATTTTTTTGTCAGAACGGGCCGACCATTCAAGTCAAACGGTCAGACCGTCCGACCAAGTAACCGGACCCCTGACCATTTCGGTCTCCAGATCGGTTTTAAAAACCATGGCTCAAAGTATAAAATGTACAATATGCAAAAATTGCATATCACATGTTTCAAAGGATCCATACTCATGAATGCAAAGAATTCCAATTTACACATCAAAAAGCACTCCTCACACCAACCTCAGCAAATCCTATCATGCATTGGAAACATCTCCCAGGAATTAACAACATACAAGTACAGGAAATGTTCCCAATTTGCAGCTGGGATGTGCCGTGAAATAACAGATCCAGACTCGGATGCAAAATGTTCGAGCTGTCTAGCTTTGAACCTGAATAGGAAGGTATTAACTATTGAATATAGCCATATGCCCTAAATCACAATAATTAGCAAATCAGTGACCTTGAAAATGGTGCCTGCATTGACATGTTACTCTCACAAAATGTTATTTTTTTTCTTTTTTTTTTTATTATTTGGGACCATTGCAGTTGCTCCCACAGGCATTTTAAGGGTATCCTCTCATACTACACCTTTCTAGATTTCCAAGATATGGTCCGAGAAAATGTTTTTTCAGAAAAACTCGTGACCAAATATCAGGCATTGTCTGAAAAAACTAAATGTGGTAGTTTTCGTTAAAATTTCTAGGGGAAAAAAACTGCTTTCTTTTTTCCGCATGCCATAGGTCTATATGGCTAAAATTAATCACATGAACAGAAAGTGGTACATGCAGCAGTTGGGGCATTCTGAGCACCAACATAACTAGATAGAAAAATTCATGGATCAAGAATTTGAAGGGAACACTTTCTGAATGAATTCCAAGAAGCGCCGGGAATAGAATATAGGGTCCACAGCCGATATGGACAAGGAATCAAACTGGATGGATTTGTAAGCGTGCTCAATCTTCTTGCTCATGTTGTACTCCTGCAATATATCAATAATGCCCAGATAAAGAACAACATCATATACTTCACCAAAATCTGGTTTCCCTTCTGTTGGAATACGCTCTGCTCTAGCAGGCATGTTCACTCCAAGCTGAATCTGCAACCTGCTTACAAATGAAGAATCAGATTTCAAGATGTAAAAAGGAAGAGCTTTCCAGACACCATTGGTTATATTTGCTTTACAGATTACAGTGAATTACAGTGAACGTAGGTATCATTGACAGGGGTGTTACTTGAATCAATTTCAATATTGATAGTTTATACCTTGCTGTGCCTGGAAGTAGGAGATCCACTTCCTCATAGCCAGCAGCTGATGCTCTTAACCGGCTACCCCTAATGTGAGGGCCCACAACAACACTCCCATCATCAGTTCCACGTGGTATCAAAACAAGGCTCTGAGGGTAGTTGGAAATTTCATCTTCTTGAACATCTGGCATTGATATTATCACCAACATCAGTAGCACTAGAGTATGCATGTCTAAATGGATATTTATATCAAGTTTAATTACAATATTTAGGACCAGTAACCAAGGTTCTAAGTATCAATATGCCCGATACGCCGGTAGAGGCATATCCAGCAGTATTGGTACTTTTTTTTCCTTTTTTTCAAATCCGGTTCAGGGGGGCCGGTTTAAGGTTCGTCCACCCCTGAACCGGTCAAACCCGATACACCCTCTGTAGGGGCGTATCGGGAGCACATGTATCGACCGATACGGGCCAATACATGTCGATACTTTGAACCTTGCCAGTAACCAGATGAGGTCACACCCTTCAAGGAGAGACAATAAGAAAAGGCCCTGAGGCAAAACAGTAAGCACTTCACTGATTGCTCCCTTTTTCCCTCTTTCTTGTTTTGGTGGGGATGATAGAGATGAAAAGCATGAAGATACAAAATAGAAAGAAAATATATGGCTATGATGGGCTATAAAGCAAAGAATCAAGATCAGTGCTCTACGAGTCACAATCCTGTTACAACACATTGAGCCTCAATTTTCTATGTCAAAACATGTCCAAATGCCTCAATTTTTGTACTTTCAGAAAGCTTATTGAATTATATATCAAACAAGGTCAAGAGAATTTGCACATGACTTTAGCAAGTAATAGCTAATTTACAAATAGGATAGGTTGTTTTGGGATTTTTCTTTATTTATTTCAGATAAATGGATGAGATTGAATTCTTAGGTTTAAACTGGTGTTAGGGTTTCAGTTTCCTATAATTAGATATAACCTAAACACTGTAAACAGGTTTGAAAGGAAATTGTCTTACTTCTTTTAATTCCATTGATAAACTCTTGGGTCTGCTTGAACTAACACTGCTTATGAGGTCCGTTCTGTTCAGTGCCATATCCATTGTTTATGAGCACTTAAATCATTTCTTACGACTTCAACATATATACACATCTATCTATCTGCCTGTATACATACACAAACACACATTCTGAATCTGGCAGCAACAGGACTTTTGTGAAACTAACCTGGCAGATCCAGACCCCCTTTTTTATAAGGGACAATTTAGATTGGCCATTTGCAGAATTCCTTGTGCACAACAGCCTTCGTAACATGCTATGAGTTGTAATTATTTTCTAAAAGATGAAGCTGAGGGAAATGGCCTTTTGTTATGTGGCAGAGGACCATTGAGCTCAAACTTGCCACGGGTAAGAAATGGAAAACACAGAATAAAACCACTTTAGGTTGTGAATTCTGCTACCACATGTCAAAAATGTATAGACAGGAGACCAAACTCCAAACCCACTTAAAGCAGTAACCCCGGACCTACCATAGAGTTACAATGCTCCAAAGCTAAACTATCATTCTGGGCAAAACCGCAAAAGTGTATTCATGAAGTTTAGATGGAAAGTGGAATTTACTTTGAGCATTTTTAAAATTTCTATTTTCCCTTTGTTTTCTTTTCCTTTCCAAAATTTCCTCAAAATTAGATTGGCCCTAATCATTGAATAGCATCCAACATTTCAAATCCTACCATCACTCTCATTTTCAGCTTCCATATGGTTAAAGGAAACCATAAGTAATTTATTTTGCATTAATTACTAAGAACCACGGCTTGGATTGGATATGTACCTTCTTCTGCAACAATCCCCAATCCATCTGCTGACAAACTTCGTTGGTAAGATACAAGGGATAGCAAATGTTGGGGAGCTCGATAATGAACACCCAACAAAAGGCTGTAATCCATTATGTTTTGTGTTTCTAGAAATCTACTATCAATCTCTATCTGCCTGCATAAGAATAGAGTTATGAAAAAAGTACAACAACAACTGCAACAGTTTTTAAGGGAGAAAATGATTATAGATAGAAATTAATAACTATCAGTAACCACAAGCATATGAAGGGAATTTTATTCTACAGAGTACAATCTTTTCATATCCAAAATACATGTAGAGGGTGAGATAATGAAAATAGACATCCATATTCATGTGACAAGCAACATAATACTGTGTATAAATTATAAAACATTACTCACAGCAACAGAAATCATTATTTTCTTGTAATAACAAAAGTTAACCATTTTGATTAAAAAGTAAATTGGAATTGGGGTCATTGCCAGATATGAGCCAGTTTAAGCATGTGGTGACCCTAGTGATGGAGCAGACCAGGATATGGATCTTCAAACCCCAAGAACAGATGTAGGCATCAACAAATCATATTGCTAACATCAAATTCAAAAAGGTCTTGATAGAGATTATAAACTCAGAGTTCATCTATTCTGATAATCGGAAAGGATATACAATTTGCTAACAAGAGTCCTTGAATATGCCATTACTTGGATTTTTTTTTTTTTTTTTGATAGGTTACTTGGAGATATTCTTAATCAACTATATGCATAATTAAATGAAACTAGACAGTATTGTTTCAATACCAACCAAAATCATATTCAAAGTTCATGGTATTTTTACCTAAAGCAGAGGATTTTATTGGAGTTCAACAGTGGGAGCAAAAGATCCTGTTTTTTCTCACTTTTTGATCTCCATATAACCTTAGACATATTAAAGTACTCGGATGCTTCACTCAAATGCTTTTCACATCAGTTGGATGGTTGAGATTGGAGAAATTTTTAATCAACCATAAGCATAATTAAATCTTTCCAGGCATATTAAAGGACTATTCCTCAACTTTGACTATGATTTTGACTGCTATTGAACCAATACTGTCTAATTTCATTTAAAACAAGTTTAAAATCTGGAGCATGTTTGTAAGCACTGTCTAATTTCATTCATAAAAAGGGCATTCCATCAAGTATCTGATGGGTTCAAGACCTCAGAAATAGAACACAATTAGAATGAATTGTAAGTAAACCACTAATAGGTTGTACCTTTTACCAGTGAGTTTTATTTTTAGGGTTACCTTTTTTCATGTTAACTAGGAGTGGCTTTTCCTTTATTGGCAAGCATCATCTAGGATTATGAGATAGGTCTGTCTACAAAATATTGGGGGAACTGATTGATGCAATAAAGAACTATTTTGATCTGTTTAGTAATTCTTCCCACAATGATTTCTCTAGCTAGAAATGTAGTTAATGAAATAAAGGCAGTTGAGAAACTTGAGATCATGGGGATAGCCATTTTAGAGGCAATCAAAGCCAAAATGACAGATGATATTGCAGCTATTATATTGAGAATGATCATGATTGAGGCTTCTCTTTTGATACGCTCAGATGCCCAATGGTAACATCTCCACAAGCCAATAGTATACTTGTGCTTGAAGAAATTCGAATTGCCTAATTAAGTGAACCACATGCCCAAAGTTAGAAAAACTGAAGGACTAAATATCTAAGAATACCAACTTAAATATGAATACGCTATATGATAAATTTTATTTAGTGAAACAATTGCAGCAGAACTTAGTTATCAATTCCCAAGGCGCAAGAAATTATAGCTGCATGCTGACTGGGGAATGCATAAACAAATAAAATCAAAACCCAATAAAGAGATCAAAACAAACAAAAAGAAACAAATTTACAAAACTTATGACACAAACATAAGGTTCACTGAGTGTGAGTGGTCAGCTTCTTTGAAGGATGATTTCCGGTAAAAATGCATCAGGGTCCACCATTATAAAAGAAATGATTGACATAAAACCATATTTCAGATGTTTCACAATTAGACCAATAATTCATGGACATCCAGAAGTGTGTAAAAATAGAAAAAATCAAATCAAATAAAGTATCCTTACTGTAACAGAGACTCTCGCCAGGAGGGTTCCAAATAAAAACAAAAGTTTAAGTCCAGATCTTTGAGTGTTGTATTCTCATCAATTTCAATATTCTCTGAAGACCGCCCCAAGGAGGAACCTTTCAAATCAAATCTTCGATGAATCCTTAACTCTGTGCAGAACATGTTGCCCATTACTACAAAGCGAAACTGCAAAAGCAGAATTGGTTCACAAAGATTACCTTCTTATATATCAAGGTGCATATTCCTAAAAGTAGGATTTAATAGAAGCATATCTCAATGTTTTTAAAACCAACCCGGAAATGAAAATTTCTGTCTGGTGGTGGGTCAGCAGTTCAACCATCCAGGTCAAAAGGTCAACCCATGACATGATAAATTAATTAAACATAAAGATAAAAAAATACAGAAAAAACAGAAAATGTAGAAAATTACAGTAAATTTACAAAAAAAAAGTCATGTCTCTAATTTCTTATATTCATCATATTAAATAAAAATAAGTGTGATAAATGATAATTATTGTTATTATTATGGAAATGGCTAAAAATAAACAAAAGATAAAAAGATAATAAATGTCTAACCCATGACCCACTGATTGGATCAAACAGTTCAGTGGTTTAACCAGCTGTGTCAGTAGACCATTGACTGAATCAACATTTTTTTTGCAAGTGAGCAGTTCAGGGGTAAAATGGAACCAGAAATATGGCCAGCTAACAGGTTAACCAGTCTGACCAGCCAATTCAACCATGGTTTGAAAGCACTGACATATCTATGTATAAGAAGAGGGAAATTGAATAATCATGTCCAAATTTTCATTACAAAATAGACATCAGATATGAAGAGCTAAAAATGTGTTTAATGGTATCCACTATAGCACTACCTTTTGTCCACTTGATGGTTTAATCCTGTGAAGGCCAAAAAATTTAGTTATGAGTGTATTCTCATATGTGCGCACATGATGATGATAATCTGGAAGCATCCTCAGGAGAACCTATAAGGGAGGGGGCACAGAGAGAGAGAGAGAGAGAGTAGTTAGCATGACTTCAAAGATGGTGTATAAATGTACAGTGCATAAAATCTTCCATGTTCAGATGATTACAGTCAGAAACAAGCATGCTTAATTGAAGATGAGATACTAGGGTAAATAAAAAAAAAAAAAAGCAAAAAAATTACTGTAAAAATACTTCATAGGCATGACAGGAAAGATGAAATTATACAAGCAAGAGGTATATAAATCCTCAATTTTACGTTTGTACTTGAACCTGAATCAGAACAATTGTATCAGAAGTCGGTATTTGAAGACTAGTTAATACCTTTTTTGTGTATTATGTTGGTTCGGCTGATATTTTGTTATCCTCTTGTCTGGGTTGGGTATTAAGTCTTTAGTTAATGGGCCTTAGTTACTGGGCCTATTTTTATTTAGTGTCTTATTTGACTGGGTGTCCCATCACTAATCAGGGGCATTCTGGTCCTTTTATGTAACTTTATGTACTGTTATTATATAAGTGAACAGGGCCGGCTGA